AAGGAAACGACACATCGTTGGCTCCTTGGTAACTACGACTCTCCACTTTGACAGCAGAGTCTGCAGAGAGACAGACTGGTAGTCTGTTACACATCGGTAGCAACGTAGTAGCGTCTCATAACATTGCGAGTGGAGCCGCAAAAGCTGGTGGTCCGCTTATTTACTAGCAGTGAGTAACAAAATAGTATACAAAAATAACCATTGGCATTAACAGCAAACATGTAACTTAGAGTTGGTCAAACAATATATCTCAAGCTCTAGGAATGTCGGGGGAGCTTGTGGGAAAGGTTTTACTTTCGTTTTTCTCCTCCCCAGTCCACGGTACCTCTATGCATAGATCAATGGATTATGCTGCTGCACATCCGTAAAGTTACAAGTGCCTATAGAATCTTGATACAGTTTACATTTTTTCTAGATATCTAACTGAATAAAAATAGTCCACTTTCTGCGTAAAGAAAAGTGACGAATTCAGTTAACAGCTTTGATTACGTGAGTGTCAGGTGTCACTGGTCGTGCCCTCACTCCCAACGATAACCCCTGCGACATATGAACTTATTGTTATGCGGTCATAAAACCACTGGGGTCATGCCGCAATCGATTTCTTAGAGATCCTTCAATCGATCAATCGTTTGAATCGTTGAAATCGATCGAGGTTTTGTTTGTGTGGCGAATCATGCATTGAGGGAGTTCATGCCCTCGGCTCTAGATGTTTTGGATACCCCGTCTACGCTCAGGAACCGAGCGTATTTGAATGCGCTCCCGTTTACAAGTCTGTCAGTATCTAAACAGCCGTTGCAATAATCCTAGTAATAGTAGTATTCAGTGTTTGCCACTAAAGCAGAAAAAGCTGCAGGCCTGCAGAGTCTATATCTCCTAAAAGCTGCAGGCCCGCCAGCAAAGCTGTAGGCCCGCCAATTTTGGAGCAAATTACAGTAATAAAACAGCATATCATGTTCTTCCTTGTGTTTATTAGTCATTATCAATGTCCATAATCATAATCCCCAAGGTTCTCCAAGCTTTTTCATTATAGCAGGGGGTGCTGCTCAGTGCTAGGGGGGGGGGAGGGGCATGTCCCGCCAGAAAATGTTTGAATTGTAGAAGCTCTGAGATGCAATCTGGGACACTCTGTGTGTAAATTTGAAGCACTGGCTGCATGTGAGGTGGAAATGTTTGTTTTGCATGGGCAAAGCCATCGGAAAATTCAAAATAATAATGGAATAAAAATACCAAAATGTAGGGGTGAACTTGCTGGTTTGCTGGTTCCAAATCGAGTTCACCTCTCATAAATCAGAAAACCTGACATATACCAGTGTTGGAAATAGCAGCTGGTCCCATAGTCCCTGACTGGTAACTTTTCAGCAGGGCTGGCTACTTTTGGAGCAGGACTGGCTAATTTTCAAGAAAATGACTGTAGCTTATATTGCGGATTTAGAAATTTTTTTAATCAGGACCGAATGGAATTTTTGTCTTATTTCCAACACTGCATATACATACCAACTATACTGGTACTGTAAATCTTCTTATATCATTTTACTCATTTGTATTATGTAGTTTTACTATCGACAGCTTTACAATACTGTTCTGGATCTGACTTACCATTTGCGTTTGGCTATGTCCACTGTTTGTATTTTGTTATTGTGGGCTCTACACCTAGTGTTATGTACAAAAAATACAATGGCAAGAGTGGTCGGTAAGTGTACCAATCTACTCTACCTCGTATTAGACTGGGTTACCTGCCCCGTAATAATGCTGTTGGAAATTAATTCACGATTTAATTCACAATTAAGATTTCTTGATGAGCTAGAAAACACTCGGATTTAAAGTATGAAAATAAACATTATTGTACCAGCTACTAAGCCTACACCAGTTGGTTGGGACTGATTGTCAGTTGAGATGCAAAATATTGAAAGCAAAAGGTTATACACCATAGATTAATTATTAACACGCGTATATAAGATAGCCGAGTCCGTTTAGAGTTAGTGGTAGTGTTAGGGTTAGGGTGTTTCTAAAGGTAACAGTTTCTCAGTGTTTCGAATTTTCTGTGATCAAATAGCTGTAGGATCAGCGGGCCTGTTTTATCAGGAAGCTGTAGGCCCGGCATCGAAACTGTCGGCAGCGGACCGACGGGCCGTCGTGAATTTCGAACACTGCTAGTATTTCAGCGTAATATGAGGGGAAAAGTGCGGGTCAAGAGGACCGGCAGTTTCGTAGAGATGTTGGCCTAAGCAAAAACTTGGTGGCCTCGGGCCTTCGAGTCGGCACTAATTTCGAACGCTGAACATAACAGACCTAAAATAAAAAGTACATGTTTAGGTTCTGCCAATCGTTTGGGATTATGTGTATGTACCTGGCATATGCGAATATTGGGAAAATTTCTTTTTTAATTGGATTAAACAGACTGGTTACTATAATTTTAAAGATATATGGATCATATGAGTATGATTAACATGAGAATAATGAGAATGTCTGTGTTTTAGAGGTACCCTGTAAAGTAGTGGAAATGGAAACAATAGCAAAATACAGTAGGTCACTCATAATTTAGACTGTGGTGGGTTAGAATTAGAGTTAGTTTAGGGATTACAGAGCAATGTTAGATGTTAATGCTATGATAATAATGATGATGATGATGACAATGCAGGAAAGTGGTGATGTATTTACAGGGGTTCTTAAGCAGGCCTGAGCAGGGTGCGAAATTAACGTGAGTCCGGAGTAAAATACTCCCTGATTTACTGTCGGACTCCCTGATTTGACATGTGCAGGAGTCCGTGTGACTCCCTGAAAATTCTTCCATACTAACTAGTTCGTTCTATGGCATAGCCTCGCAGAATTACCGTATATTTTCAGCTAATGTCCAAGGAAAATTTGGCAGACGTGCAACCGCATAAATCTTAAAAATAAGCACATGCGTTATTGTTAGTATCTGTAATTTTGAACCTCAGACTGCGGACTCCCTCACTTTGTTGTGGACTCCCTCTTTTTGAAAGTAGGGAGTCCAACGAACTCCCGTGTTCAAAAGTTTATTTCTACCCCTGCTGAGACAGCAAAGGGTGGTTAAAAGGAAGAATCTGTTACAAACACTGGTACCAATTAAATGTTTGTACACACATTAAATTAGCTCTAATTGAATGAACTTGGTGTTTTTCACATGATGCATGTTTTTTATCAATGAGACAGATAGGATTCGTGTAATCATCTCTACCTACCTGGACTAAGAAACAATCAGTGAATCACTGAGCTTTGTGTAGTGAATGGTTTTTAGAATGAAAATTAGCATATTAATGTGCTAATAGTAATAGTATACTTATCTTATTATTGTACTAAGATGTATCAAACTTACAGGCACAATGTAGTACAATTTATAAACTTTTTCTGTGTGTATTTCTCAAACCTGTTAAAAATACATAAATTTGCCACAATGTGCTGCCCCCTTTAGGCAGCTTTCTCCATCAATAAGTTCACAGACTTATACACAGGCTATGCCAATAAGCAATGAACATAGGTGAACTTCACTATGATCTGTGAGATTGATAGGCACTATCTACAAAACCTCAAGAACAAAGCAGCATCAAGTTTCTTGATAAACAGTATTTAAAATATCACATATGTGGTGCCACCTCTTGACAAAGAGATATACCAAAACTCAATAAAAACACGCTATTCTGGCAAATCCAGCCATAAATAAGCTTGTCCCGTACAACCATTACGTTACTTACTCAAATACACTTGTAATATAACAATATGCACTTGCTACAGATGCTAAAACGACTATTTCCTAAAACTTGCAAATGAAAAACAAAATGGCAGCTTTGCTATTGCGATCCGGTCGACACAACCGCTGTTGTTTATTGCTAAATCATACCATTAATACCTTAGTCAAATAAAATTATAAGATCCAGAACGAAATATGAGTGCACACTCTAGCGAAATAAATTAAAAAATTGGTTTCGCCTACCTTCAATCACGAAATAATCGCATATATCTTCTCCCAACACTGCTCAACTGTGAAATGGCGCCAACTCTGGCTGAGGTGAAAACACTGTTCATAAACTGCACGCTCATTGGTCAGATATTTATAAGTACGTTGTGATGGTTATGCTTATTTTGAGTGTGTTTCGATTACAATTATGTCTTTAACATTCACAACTGCCAGAAATATAACAATTACACATTGGCTTAGCGTCCTTAGTTATTTGATCAACTAAATAGTACTTGAAGAACATTTAGATGAAGAAGTTGTACAGTTAATGAAAAATTGCCTTGTCCAATAATAGTAGGCGTAACAAAATGATCTAGAGAGACATCAGAACCGTACGCTGGGAGCTAGCGACACCTGCAAACACTGACTTTCTGCTCTGCTTTCTGTACAGTTTACTCGAGACTCGAGTGGCTTGGAAACATCGGGGATTATTTCGGATTGTTGATCGTTACATATACATATATATACATATACTGTATACATATACATATACAGTTACATATACTGTTTCCAAATATATTTTTTAAATAGAGCAAAATTTAATGAAAAATTTGAATTAACTTCTTACTGTAGGATGAATCTGAAAACCTTATGACCAGATTAAATAAACATGCATAGGGGGCCTACTGCAACGTCATAGGTTAGGTAGATACAAACGATACAAACACGTGTTTGTAAGTATGTATTTATATGTATCAAGAGTACATAATAGAGATTATGTACATGTGTACATTATGTACATGATAGAGATCTCTACATATATATATATATATATAT